TTCATGTTCATTTTCACCTTTGTTATGAGCCCTTACTTTCCTCTGATGGAGTACATATATGTGTGATTTTTTTTGCTCTACTTAAGTATGTTATAGCATACTCTCAAGTTGAGACTTTGTGACTCTGCTTCAGTGTGCTCAGCTATGCTTGACACGTCTATATTCTTGCAGTCTTCTAGCTATGTTTTTGTGCCTGCTGAACTCGAAGGAGATGTGTGGTTTTCAACATTAGCATTGCTCTTGCTTTAGCATTGTGGGCCATGTACCTTGTTGCAAGAGGAGTCACCAATAAACAGTGTCCTGTAGTCAAAGGCCTTGCCTTGTGAGGGAAGAATTATTGGATTCTTTTGTGACTGTCTGGTAGTGTCGAAAAGTCATGTTTTTAGCTTCCCACCTGCATGCTTAGGACCCCAGAGAAAGTGCTATTACTGGATGGTATACTGTAACATACTACTTGTGCATTACATGGAAAGAAAGCTTTCTAGCTCTGCATGTTTTTTTGGGGTCTAAGGGCTCGTGGAAAAAGTTGTTCAATATGATTTCATCGCAGTACATAATTTCAGCAAGATTGTCACAATTTCCTACAGAGGTGACGAGGAGTTTATGGTTAAGTATTCCAATAGTTGCTAATGTTCTTTCATTTGGATTGTCATAATATCACTTGCTATAATTTTACCAAGCTAAAAATTAGGCAATGCCTCTAGCCTCTAAAGTGCAGAATGTCAAAGATATTTTCTCTCAATTTAAAATAATTTAAGTACCATTTTGCCAAAGTGGCCTTTTTTTGCTCTATGTTTGCTTGTTAATACAGTCATGTCTCGTCTGTCCACAGATTAGTTTACTAAATGTCAATTTTGGTGGAGCCAATTATTTCTGAAGGCACATGTCATTTTTTACTCAAAAATATCTAGAAAGCAAATAAGGGGCTACATGTCACAGTGTACACATGCATGCAACATCATGTTCAGATAAAAAGAGTTAATTTGAGAGGCTGATGAAAAGCAGGTCTGAGAAGGATAATTGCTTCTGTAACAACAAGAAGTTGTGTGAAAGAGGCATCAAAACACCGATGTAAAAGCTAGCTTAGCACTTAGTCTGTTGACATTTAAAATCTGCAAGAGGAGTACTGCCCCAAGCGTGCACTCATTACCTTCCATCCTATTTAGCTGCTCGTGCGCCGAAGATTTATTGAAGGGGGGAAAGTCTACACTCGGAGGTAGAACTTCTTAGAGGGCTTACATCGCGAGAGAATACGGATGTCTCGTTGCACATGGTCGCCCTTCTTTTTACTACTTTATGTCAACGTGGCTGTTCTCGAAATTTTGAAGATGGCGACCGCATCGTTTGCTTTCCAGACTGCGGCCTCCGGAAGCCGTCGGCGGCTCCGGCCGTCTCTCGCTCGCCATGGCGCGAGCCCCGGCGTGAGTTCCGCTGCACGAGCTGCGACTTCACCACGGCGTACAAGTGCAGCCTCATGGTGCACCAGCGCACGCACACTGGCGAGCGCCCCTTCCAGTGCCGCCTGTGCGGCAAGACCTTCGCCCACAAGTGCAACCTCAAGAGCCACCTCCGCGTCCACACGGGAGAGAAACCTTTCCGCTGCCCGCAGTGCCCCCAGTCGTTCTCGCAGCGCAGCACGCTCACCGCCCACTTGCAGACGCACGCGCCGCAGGGTGCCGGGCCGAGCGCGGTTTGGCTTGCGCCGGCCGAAACGACGGTGGTGCGGCTGCTCGGCACCGAGGTTCGGGACGGGGGGCCGATGACCCATAGCACGCACCTAGACGACGCGGGGTCGTCGTGGTAGACCCTGCGTTCGTTGCCGCGGGACGGCACCGATTTAGGGGATTGCGAGACGGGAGATTTCTGAAGGTTCGCGTCTAAAAACGCCAACTGACGTGGTCTTGGCTTGCCCGTCATAAGGGCGCACATCGTGATGACGTATCGAAAACAAAAAGTTTTGGAAAATTGTTTTTTTTTTTTTTTTTCTTAAAGAGATTCTGAACTGATATTTGGATTTCACAAAATGATGTTGCAGAAGCATCGCTCGTACATCGATATCTCAAACGGATGGCCGTATTTCTGGAAAGGAAGGGCGCGATCGACTGAGCACTGTCGTGTCACGATTCTCTTCGGAAAGGCGAGAGTGAGGAAAAGCGGCCTCGCTTCTCTCCTTCTAGCTTTGGTTCACCTGCTGAGGGGACAAAGCAAAAAGGAGAGGAAATGAGAATCATCACGTGAGATGTCTCGACGGCCTTGTTCAATCATGCACTTCTTTTCCAAAAATACGGGCATCCATTAGAGGTACCGCTGTACGAATGATGTTTTGGGTTTTTTTCATCGTCCCGCCTGTAGCTCTAGGCTTGGTTTGTGAGCTCCAAATTCTGGTTCAGAATCTCCCTAAGGCCTATCCGCACATACGCCGCGGTGCTACCTCTGCGCTATTAATCGGTGCTGGAAGTAGTTCTCACCCTGTTGACGCAGGGCCGACGTTGTGCTATATTGGTGATGTAGTGCTGCTGCAGCATTATCACTAATATAAAGCACTGATTTAGTGCTGCAATGCATGTGTGAACCGGCCTCTAGGAGATCGGGTAATTTTTCGTGAGTTCCATAATTCTGGCTAAGTGCAAGAAAATTTGCAGAACTCGTCTTTTCTGCATTTTGGGGATGGCTTGTGTTTCGTGCTGCCTTTGTGTGAGGTCGTGGATGATCTCGAGGAGGGTAGTGGTTGTCTGTGCTTACACATGACATGGTCGCTGACGGGGTGGTGAAGGTTAGGTGTGCTTTTCGAATGGCCAGCCTCCAGCGTGCACTTGTCTTCGGTCATGCTTTGGTTACCAAACTTTTGTTGAAGGAAGGGAACTCGCGCTGAAACATCTACCTGCCGTTACCGTCCCATCTGTGACCTCAGAAAAGGCCGAGGTTTCGGTTGCGCACGGAAAGATCCGCAGTCGGTCGACATTAATCCTCGTTCCTTCGCCAGGGCATGCCAGATGCCATTTGTTGGCTTGGCACGTAAACCTCCCAAAGTTGCCTTATACGTAAAGAACAATAGTTATAGGTTGCTTTTTCTGCATTTTTTTTTTTCAGTTTATTGGGAGTTTTATTGAACTCGCATGAGCACTTCAAAGTCGAGGCAAAAAAAAAAAAGCATTTTCCACTCGGCGTTTCTCAGAGGCCGAATGTGGGTCAGCAAAGAATTTTTCGAGTTTACCTTGGCACAAAAAACGTAGAAGTAGCATGTAAGTTATTGTGAGAACTTTAATGAGAAGTTTGGCAGAAATTTGAGCATAGTCAGTTAAAAGGTGGAAGCTCCTGCAAAATGTGTGTCACACGGCATTTTCATACATATTCATTACCGGTACTTTCTTTACAGCGACTATTTGAAATAGTAGCCAAGCTCTGTTCTTCTCTGCATTTAATTTATTTCCTTGGTTTAGTATGGACCTGAAGCACCCTACTGGACAGTCCGTTAGTGTGGAGCAAGTCTGCGTGCCTTTCACGTGGACTTGAGTGAACAAACTAATCTGCTCTAATCTCTGCGAATGTCACAGGTGGTAAGTGGAGCTGCGATCGTATAGGGGGAACTATATGTAACCCGCAGTGTGTGCTTGTATTAAAACCTCGATCACAACTGGAGACGTGTGCATCTGACATGGTGTACATGTACAAGGAGTGTATACGGACATGTTTTAGTTGGCACCGAATTTTTTGTGTAGCCACTGCAGGAACTACCTGTGACCATACATTTTGTATGCTTAGTGGCTAACAATATTGTGTTCTCAGTAGTTAGTCATTGTCGGATGTGCGCTTTGCTTCTCTTATATCCTGTGTTTTTCGAATCTTTGCAGATTTTTTGGGCAAGTGGTCTTGCATATTTTGTTTGTATTTGACAAAGTATATTTATGTTCATGTCCAGAGTGTTGCAGAGTCATCGTATCAGCTAGTAATAAAGTGCAAAGTTACTACGACGTTTGGCATGTCTGTTTTTAATGAAACACTCTGCCTCTGAATGGTTACGCTGCTGAACTTTTGAGGCGCATTGTGTAGCATCTGTGTAATTGGAATGTGAACACACTTGCCAGTCCCTGAACAATTTTATACTGAGGGCATCATAGTGGTAATGCAGTGGGAGATTGGCAGTTTCAAGCTGGGGCTTTATGATGTGCACGATGTTACATTTTCACGTTCTTTTTGTTCTTTCCCATTTCACTTAGTGTGGCTATGTCTGCAACTAAGACATTCAAAACAGTTTTGTTTGCAGGCTACCAAGTTTGAAACTTACTGCATTCAAATGAAGAGCTAAGTTTGGTTTGGGTTAATGTGGGTCAATCATCATCATTAACTTGTCAGGATATGCCGTCCAGCGGCATTTTGACAGGCATCTAAAGAAAAGAGTGCTATTATTTTTTCTTCTGTATCATGTCTTAGAGGATTCCTAACCCCTGCACCTAAGTTTGAATATGTCTATTTATTTTAACAATGTTTGGAGGCATCCTTGTTTTCATGTGTTTGTATGTTTTGTTTCTAGCTGTTATTCTGTCTATCTGTATGTGCCACGAAACAAGTAGTCTTTTACGGCACGAAACGTCACATAGCACCAATCTTGGAATTCCACTGTTGGAGTTGCATTTACATTAGTGGTTGTAGTACTTTAAATTGTCTGTGAAGTCATGGGGCCTGAATATTCCTACAGACGAGATGTCTAAAAGAAGGTATTAAATGAGCAAAATGTAAATTAGTTTTGTGATGGCACAGCCAAGGAGGACGTCGTGACAAAAGCAGCTTTGTTGTTGTGCACCAGCTTATGCTTCTGATGACACGGTAAGGTGGTGGCACTGACCGTGGGACAGCACTTGCACAGGTGCTTTATCCTTGAAAAACGAGTTCCCCTGCACGCACGGTGCCCCCAGCTGCTTTAGGAAAATGGGCTCGTTTATGAAACATTGAGTAAGTGTACACTTTCTGAAGGATGCAGCAATCCATGCTACATCTAAGCCATGTACATGCAGCCCCCAAACAGTCCGAAACGGACTAAATCCGCCCCCTTTAAGGGGCTCTTAGGATTCCAAAATGGAAGATACGTCACTTTTTTTGCATTATCTTTGCAGGTTTTGGTGGCGGCACCAATGGCAGGACGCCCCGTGGCGTGCGCCGCTACCACTGCAGCTTCTGCAACTATTCGACCATCTACAAGCAGACGCTGCAGCGCCACCACCGGACCCACACCGGCGAGCGCCCGTTTGAGTGCGAGTACTGCCTCAAGACGTTTGCGCAGAAGTGCAACATGAAGTCGCACATGCGCCTGCACACGGGCGAGTGCCCGTACAGGTGCCAGTTCTGCCACGCCAGCTTCCGTCAGAGGCACCTGCTTACGAGCCACCTGCAGGAGGAGCACGCCGTTCGTCTCGCGTTCAAGTGCGGCTACTGCGCCTCCGGTTTCCTCACCAAGCACGAGCTCTGGAGGCACATGAAGAGCTGCATCAATGATTGGAACCCGTAGCTCCCAATGAAGAACTGCATCCAGATTAGAACTGATTGGAACCCAAAGAACTGCATCCAGGATTAGAACTTGTGACTGGTCATAAAGAACTACGTCAATGCTTCGAGCCTGTTGCTGGCCATGGTGAATATCAACAGCAATGGGAACTCAACTGGCCATGAAGAATTGCATCAGTGATTGGCACCCGTAGCTCCTTATGGAGAACTGCTTCCAGATTAGAACTGATTGGAACCCAAAAAGCTGCATCCAGGATTAGAACTTGTGGCTTCCCATAAAAACTACATCAATGATTCAAACCTGTAGCAGGCCATGATGAATTGCAACGGCTATTGGAACAGTACTGGCCATGAAAAACTGCATCAACGATTGGAACTCATAGCTGACTGCAAAGAACTGCATCAACAGTGTGAACTCGTAGCTCCCTCCCTCGAGCAACATCAGTGATTGGAACCCGTAGCTGGCCACAAAGAACTTCATCAATGATTGGAGCTCCTAGCCAGCCATGAAGAACTGCATTGATGGTTGGAACTCATAGCTCCCCATGAACATCAGTGATTGGGACCCATAGCTAGCCATGTGGAACGACATCACTGATTGGAACCTATTGGCTGTCCATTAATAACTGCATCAGTGACTAGAACCTGTAGCAGGCAATGAATAACTGCATCAACGTTTTGAAGTCACAGCTCCCCCTGAAGAATTTCATCAGTGATTAGAGCCTGTTGCTGGCCAAGAAGAGCTGCATCAATGATTGGAACCTGTAGGTGTCCAGAAATAACTGCATCATTTGGAACTCTTAGCTGGCCCCGAACAACTGCATTAGCAGTTGGGACTCGGCTCATCATGAACAACTGCATCAATAGTTGGAACTTTTATCTCATCACGAAGAACTGCATTAACGATTAGAACTCGTAACTACCCATGAAAAATTGCAACAACGATTGGAACGCGCAGCTCGCCATGAAGGACTGCTTCAGTGATTGGAGCTTGTAGCTCCCCGTGCAGAACTGCAACGACTGAAACTTGTAGATGGCTATGGAGAACTGCATCATTGATTGTAAATTATAGCTCACTGTGATGTGCTTTAAGAGTTTGAACTCGTAGCTCTTCGTGAAGAACTGCATCCACGATTGTAGCTCGTAGCTGGCCACATGCTTCCACAGCTTCATGGCGTATGTTTCTTGGGGCTTGGTGTTTGGTGCCTCTTCTGAGGTCAATGGTGGTCTGTTGGGGAAAATGGCGACAGACTTCCATGATCATTACGGCGTCTGATTGCATGGCTTCCGCTCAGTGTGGTACAGCTTTCGTCTTCTGCAACGTCGGCCATTGTCTTAGCTCTAACTTTCTGTACCTCTGCTCTTTCATGGCTTCGCATGTTGTAGTGAAATCGGGCACTAACGTCAAGGAGACCGAATCTAACAAGCATAGCATTTTATATAGAAACGCATAGTACATGTATTTTGAGGAACTTGAGCATGTTTAGCTGTTCTGTCTTTCCTGCCGACTGTGGATTCATAATGGTGTTGGGGCGAATCTGGGCTAGGGTGCATTCCCAGCAAAGGACTTCATAACCCTATTCATAGTATAAACGAGCTCTGGAGACCCATGCAAGATCAAATTATTGGGTGGAATTTATTAGTGGCCACTTTTTCTCAAAGGACTACAAGGCTCTGGATGCATACCTGTGTCACAAACTGTAGAGTGCTATAAAGTGTGCATCACACGAATTCAGCTTGCTCGTTGCGAAATATTAGGCTTCATATATTGTGGCTAGCATCTGGTGACAGAATATGGGAAAGCACTAAAACCTTTACTAACCTCTACAACAGCCTATTCCCTAATTTCGCTTCGAGCGAGCCCAGGAATACTCGTAGACCAAGAAGGAATCTATGCATGGTTCAAGTGGTGGTGCATTTTGCTTGTTTTATGTGGTACCCGGTATGCTAAGAAAAATGACACCTGTCGCTTTTGTTAAAAAGAGCACTTGCTAAGCACTACGGTACTCCGCACTCTGTTTGCTATACAAATCGGCACCATGTTGGATTCCACCCGACGTTGCATTAAGAAGCTCTCTAGCTTCCTGACATTGCCTGAAATGTTTCTTAAAGCTGATCTTAGTGTTTGGCAGTCAGTGTTACAAACATGCCAATGTGTATTTTTTATTGCATCTAGTGGAACATTTGCGCTGAGGAATTCCATTATGCAATATTGGCATTCTAAGGACAATTTTGGAGAAACGTATGCACCAGTGAGATGAGAGGCATGTGCATGTTTCCCTGAGAAGTCGGCACCGACATGTGTAGTGGTTGTTACAACTTGTCCTTTATGCATACTCATAGGTTTTATACTGGGTGGTAGTTCAGAGGTTTTACACAAATGGAATACTGCTTTGATCTTGGCTATGCTGTGGCATGACTAAAAAGTCACGTATTTAGATATTATATAATATTTATGTATCCCAAGATGTTTGTTTGATGTACCAATTTCAACCAATCAGTGCATTTAGCACTCTTATTTGTTCAAGTATATTTCTTTCTGATATATTGTTATTTATTTGTTCTCTTAAAATAATTTGGGCCCTGGTTAAAAAACAAAGTTCTGCCATCATAATGTGGCATTACGACCAGGTAACAGCCGATGTTTTTTAGATGTTCTTGGTCTTGTGATTTTTTAAACGACTTTTAGTTATTTATTTAGTTTATGTGTACCGTGTTTTTCAGTTTTATTTTTAATTCCCCTTCTGTGTGAAGTTCCCACTATTCCTACTCATATATTTTTAGGATAATACGAGAATGGTTAGCTTCCACACTATCGGTAGCAGGCCAGGTAGCAGTGTGCTGCTCGCTACGAGATTAACATTTCTCAAGTTGCACTTTTGGCCTCGCACTTGTAAGAGACTTTCCTTTTGCTTTGCCAACTTTTTTTATTGAAACAATTTGTGGAGAGTATTCCTAACACGGCTTTAACACAACCATTGTGTAGTTATGCCGGCATGCCGGTAATCCAAACTAGACTAGCGTTTTGCTTTAAGACTTGGAGGAAAGTGATTCTGTTGCTAGAAGATTCTGGAGCCTTGCAAAAGATGGAATTACGAATCATTATTCACACGATGGGAATGTGTATTCCGTCTCCGATGCCCTGTCTTTGGCATGCGCTCACTGCCTTGCGTCATACCATAGCCTTTATACTCGCAAAGCATGGCAGTTCGACGACGGAGCCATAAGAGTGCCCGGTCGCAGATTTAAAGCGCGAGGATCTGGTAGCACAGAGCATCAAAGAGCCATTTTTCGGGGAACCTGGACGTCAGCGCACAGCTTTTGCAGCGGAAAGGACCCGAAACACGCTTGTTCAATCGGGAGAAATGCGTTTCGGCGCCCCGCTGCGTTCTGCCGCTCCATCTTTTCCATTTCGGCGGCCGTTTCTCGTGGCGATCTGCGAGGCTTTGTCAGTATAAAAGAGGCTATGATGATACTTTGCTGCGTGCGCGCGCCAGAGGTTCACGAGACGCCAAAATGTTATCAGAGTGGAGAAACTCGCACTGGTGGCCCGACAACTGAAGCGTCTCCTTGCCGTTCTGGCCTTGTCGGCGATTGTAGGTTGAACATTTCAGTATTTTAGTACAAATTTGCCACGTGACGCAGGGAGACCTTGTTCGGAAAAGTTATTGGACCATCTCGAAAGCAATGTAAAATATAGAAAGACGTTATTAAAGTCCTGCTAAAGTATAGAGGTTCTTGGCTTTGTCTTTTCAAAGTGCCTACAGTCAACATGTGAAAAAAATGTTCAAATAATGCCCGGAAATGAATTTTAAACAAACATAAAAAGCGGATTCGGCAATAAATTGTGGAGCGCAGGAAAAGCAATGGAGAAGCTGGGAGGGAAGCTACGTGCCCTGGTTGGCCAGCACTGCACGCGTGCGGTCAGTCGGGAGCACTGGCTTTCCCGGTTGTGCACCGAAGGCCCTCTCAACTGCAGTCGAACCCCGCGCTCGCCTGGCAGACCATTGGGCCTTTTTCTGGCTCGTCATTATTTCGAATCCCGGACAAAACCTCACCCATTTTTTTCACAGACCCGGACAAAAGCTCACCAGGAGAAAATTTAATGTTGGTCTTAAGACGAGTGCGAACACTGCGACACTAAATAATTGAAATACCTTTACGACGCACAATGACGGAAAGAATTAATTTTCTTAGCCATTCACTTCAAATATTCCCTTGAACCCCAAGAAAACCCATGCATTAGTAATGAAGAGACATTGTGCCTAATCTTTTTGTACGCGTTTAGCAAAACAAGCGCAATGAAAAAGCGAGCTCACCGAAGGGTGACCTAATTGGCTTCTTCGGTCACTTTTCGGGTTCCAAAACTTCGCTTCACGAAGTTTTTTGGGCGATGCACGAGGGTGCTCTAGCTTACCTTGAGTCAAGCAAGCTTGATCTTATCAGCTCCACTCAGTTTCGGTGACCTAAATTTTGGTCCCAAAACGTTGCTTCTCTGCCTGTCGTGGCTTATCTGTCGCACCTTTGCATGGGATAGGGTACCAGTTCTCCTAAAAATGGTACAATGTCCGTCGCGTCCGCACGTTATCCAAACCCGTGCTTCGCCAGGGCAGCAAAAAGAAAAAAGGTGCGCTTTTGTCCGGGTTTGCGAAAAAGCGGGTGAGCTTTTGTTCGGCGAGCCTTTGTCCGGTTATTCACTATTTCAGGGGCACTGCCACATGTACATTGATTAAAAGTGTTGCCCACGGATATCTCGTCCATTTTTGGCCCCATTCTTTTTTTAGTGACAATTTGACACATGCAGAGAACTTTATTATCTGTTTTTTGTGCTAGAAAGACAAAGTCCAACATTTTCGAAGCTTTAGGCTTGCTGGCTTATTCGCCTTACCAATGCTTCATCACCCAGGCAAAAAATGCTGACTCACTGGGCTGTTGGCACGCAGGGATGTGCGGCGTCTGATATACCGCAGGAGAGAGCTCGTGTCCATGCTCGGAAGACATTCC